TATATAAAAATGCATCTTTAATATATAAAAATAAAAACATGCAAGTCGATTATTATTTTATATTAAACCAATTTAATATGAAGTAAAGGTACAATAAATAAATGTATAGTACATAATAAATAAAATTTGTAATATAGATCGTCAATAGATAACTATTACATTGACCTAAAAAATGGTAAAAATGATTATTATTTTACATTAAATCAATTTATTAGGGTAAATAAGTGTAATACATAATTAATAGATTTTTTATTCTGTTTCTTTTTATGTTCACCTAGAAAGCAAATTTGTAATACAGCGAATTTTTAAATTATATATTTAAAATAATTCTTTTAAATTTCATTCTTATTGGTTCTTTATATAACACATCACCTAAAAAACCATTCAACACATAATTTCCGACAATTCCCACAGTATTTATTTACATTTGTATAGCTTAAAAATAATCCACATCTAAACAACAATTAATAATAGTATCAAAATAAAGATTGTGAAATTTACAATTCAGACGCTCTCATTGAATTAATGCAAACAGCTGCTGTGAAATCTCTGCCAACACATCTATTTAAAAATGTATTCCCCGATCGCTAAAGATCATTTATTAGGCACATTTTCTGTTTGATTAATTTACAGTTGCGTTATTTAGTCGTATTTATAATAATGTAGTCAACCGCCATTTGCTAGTTGCAAAAAAAATAGTTTTTATTTTGCATAATTTATGACTGGCTGAAACTGAGCCGCAGCTGGCTGTCTCGCTCTAATACACTGCACGCTGTCAGCATCGTTTGTCTCGCTCACGCATTTGGGCAATTTTTTGCATGAGTGTGTGTGAGTGTATATTGAGCTCTTTGTATTTTTCTTTATTTTATACATTTAATGCCAAAAAACAATAATCAAAATACAAGTGCAAGACTCAGCCATACACACATATACATACATATATGCATAGCGAAACACGCAACTACTCACACACGTACACACACACACGCTCACATATATCGTTTGACCAGTCTCCAGTGACAGCCCCGCAGTGTGGGCAGTTCCAAAGGCGAGCGAGCGAGAAAAAAAGAGCCAACAACAACAACRTGAGTAGCACACAGACAAAGGCAGGCCAGAAGCGAAAAACGAAAAACGACAAAACGTCGCTCAAACTGCAGGTGCAATGCTTGCACTCGCACACCCCACCAACCAACCTATGCGCTGCCTCTCGCTTCCTCCCGTACTTACTTACGACTTACTGTTCGCTCGTGTCTTTGCCAAAGAGAAGTGCAAGCCGAGCGCAGAGGCACATGGCGCGTCTCTTAAAATCAAAAGAGCGTCAAAAGATTGCGGCGAATTGGCGAGAGCGCAACCGACTGCAGCTCAAAATTGAGCAGAAGCAACAGAGGCGGCAGCAGCAGTAGCAGAGGCAGAGATAGCAGAGGCAGCAGAAATACAAACGGAACTAATTAATGAACAATCTTTGCTGCTGCTGCGACGGCGACGGCAGCTGCTGTCAAGTTTTTTTGCTTCTTAGGCCGCTTCAAGAGCGTGCGTTTGTGTGGGAGAGAGAGAAAGGGGAAGGGAATATATGTGACGTTTATGAATTAGATAATTGTTTAAATTATGATTTATATTATTTATTGCTATTATTATTAATTAGCCTTCAGCTCATTCCTATTAGATTGCTAACTGAAAGTACCGTTAACTATTCGCTGCATTTACTCACGCACTCACACGCACACACTCACTCACTCACACACACACACACGCATGCTTAACTATTAGGCGCCCCCCTTCGCACGCATTGCCGAAAATGCAGCGCGTTTGTCTCATCTCTTGAGCTAACGGCACAGCACAGTTGCCGTTGCTTTTTTGGGGGTTGCGCGGCGCTGGCTGTGTGTGGGAGAGCGAACCAGCGCCGAAGTCGCTCGCGAGCGAGCTTCGCCTCGTTTCGCCTCATCGCCTCTTCGTCTCGTCCAGCGCATTCGTCGTTGTAGTCGTCGTCGTCGTCGGCGGCGCTTCGTTTTCGTTTTGCCGAGTAAAGGAATTTTGTACGTTTGCCGGCATTTGTTTTGTTGCCGCTCGCTGCTCGCCGCTCGCCGCTCGCCGCATGCCGTTTGCCGTTTGCCGCCTGGCGTCGCTCTTTTGCACTATTTTCGCTGCGCTCCTTTGCCTTGAAAACTGCAACTGCAATATTTGCTGGCTGCGACGTCGACAGCGCCACACACTATTTACGACTTGGGGGTCTCGCGGCTGACGTCGCGACGACGACTCAGCGAATTCGCATTCGCAACTCTCGACGCGACGGCAACTACAACAACAACAGCAGCAGCAGCTACTAGCAGCAGCGCCTCTGCGTTTTCGTAGCCCCAATCGACGTCGTCTGCTGCTGCTGCTGCTGCCTGCTGCTGCCCGTTAAGTTTGTTTTGAGTTTTTCCGTATCAAAATGTGCAAAACGTTTTCAGTCTAATTCAGACGCTCGTGCTGAAAAGACTTTTTATTGGGGGCACGTTCCATTGCCAAAAATAACGACGAGACGCCAAAAACGAAAAAGCCGCCATACGCATACACACCTACAAACACACACACACACTCACACACATACGATTTGTTGATAAGACAACAAACTATTTTAAGCTAATTTCAAAATAATTTTTAAAAATTTTAAAAATTAAACAAAAAATTGTAAATTAAATATTTGATTGTAAAATTGAAAATGCGCGTAAAATAAGCCAATCACATACACACTTACATCTCACTCATACACACACACCCACACGTTGTCACGTGTACGTTAATTAAATCGCGACCAAATCGCGAGCGCGATAAAAACCGCGTCGTCTCGTTGCAGTGTTCGGTACACACACACACTCACACTTATACACCCACACACATGCATACAGCTAAAGAGTTCGATTTCGCCTTGCCGCTCGATCAATAGACACTCTCTCGCTCTCGCTCTCAATTTTTGGAGCATACAAAATGGCGTCAACGGAGACGCCAACGTCGCGGCCAAGCAACGATCGCGGCAGCACCAGCACCACGAGCACGAGCAGCAACGTCGCCACCGCTGCCGCGGCGCAAACAGACAGCGAAACCTATGCCACAGAGCAGGCGCAAGCGGCGCAGCGACAGCGCAGCGGTGGTGGCGGCAGCGGCAGCGGTAGCGGCGGCAGCAATTCGCCTACACCACAAAAGGATAAACCAAAGGCCGTTAGCCCGCCGTTAACAACACCGCCGAGCGCCAGCGGTGCCGCCGATGCCGACGTCAGCGGCGCTGCCAACGCGGGCAGCTCATCGCCCAGCTCCAGTGCGACGACAACGACGACGCCGCTCCAGCAGCAGCAGCAGACGCCGCTGCCACAACAATTCTGCCTACGCTGGAACAACTACCAATCGAATCTGACCACGATCTTCGATCAGCTGCTGCAGAACGAATCCTTCGTGGACGTGACGCTCGCCTGCGACGGCCGCTCGATCAAGGCCCACAAAATGGTGCTCTCCGCCTGTTCGCCGTATTTCCAGACGCTGCTGGCCGAGACGCCCTGCCAGCATCCCATTGTTATCATGCGCGACGTCAGCTGGTGCGATCTCAAGGCCATTGTGGAATTTATGTATCGCGGCGAGATCAACGTGAGTCAAGATCAAATTGGCCCGCTGCTGCGCATCGCCGAGCTGCTGAAGGTGCGCGGCCTCGCGGACGTAACCCAAATGGAAGAAGTCAATTCTGCAGCAGCAGCAGCAGCAGCAGCGGCGGCGGCAGCGGCTGCAGCAGCAGCAACAGCGACCGCCTGCTCCTCGCCCGCTCAACTGTCGCCCAAGACGCCGTTGGAGCGCGAACCGAGCGATGATCTGCTCTCCTTCATGCAGCCGGAGAAGAAGTTGCGCACCAGCGACTGGGATTGCGGCGAGCTGCGTCTTTCGCCGCAGCAGCAGCTCCATCACCAGCAGCAGCAGCAGCAACAGCAGCAACAACAACAGCAGCAGCAGCAGAGCCGCAATGTGCGCAAGCGTCGCTGGCCCTCGGCTGATGCCATATTCCAGGCGCCGCCGAGTCCATTGAGCAGCTTGATCGCAGCCGAGCGACTGGAGCAGGAGCAGAAGGAGCGAGAGAGACAGCGCGATTGCGGCCTACTGACACCGCCGCCCAAGCCAATGGGCGCTGGCAGCGGCAGCCTGACGCCGCGCCGCTTGACGCCCGCAGCACAAGCGCTGGAGACGGCGCTGCATGGCCTGGAAATGCCCTCACCTGCAACGACGCCAGCGCCACCGGGAGCTAGTCGCTGCCCACGCTCGCTGCCCAGTCCACAGCAACAACAACAACAACAGCAGCAGCAGCAGCAGCATCTCCATCATCTGCAGCAGCAACAGCAACAGCATCACATCTCCACTTCCGCTTCCAGCACTTCCGCTGAGTCGCGATTCCCGCTCGGCTCTGCCGCGGCCATGGCCGCTGCCGCCATGGAGCTCAGCGTCGCTGCTGCCGAGCCACGACTGCCGCCACCGCCGCCCCACCATCACAGCGGACCGTCCAGCTCAGCTTCGCTCGCGGACGACATGGAGATCAAGCCGGGCATAGCGGAGATGATACGCGAGGAAGAGCGGGTAAGTGAACATAGGCTATTTATCTCTCTCTTTAAACGTTCTCTTACGGCATTTCATTCACAAACGCGATCTGCTTAACGCGCTCTCTTCAGCAGCTGACGCTGCAGCAGCAGCAGCATTTGCTTACGCTCACGCGTCAAAAGCAATCGCTCTCTCACTCTCCGTTGCGCTCTCTGTTTTGTTTTGATTTACGTTTCGCGATCTTCATTTTGTTTCGGCGACTTTTTGCCGACGGCATTTCGCCGCGTGACGTCACAATGGACTCGGCAGCAACAGCAGCAGCAGCAGCACCAGCTACCGTGGAATGTTGTTGTTCGCTGCGCTCTTGATTGACAGCATTCACGTGCTGCACGTCGTCGCCGGCGTCGTGGCTGCTCCCTCTCTACCTCTGCCTCTGGCTCTGCCATGGCCGCTGCTTCTGTTCCACTGTTCATTGTTGTTGCCGGCCACGTCTTCTGCTCGCGATCGTTGAAAGCATTTTAAACATTTTTCGCCTTGTCGTAGGTTCCACATGCGATGCTTCCTCCTTATGTCCGCACATTAATTGATTGTTAAATATGAATGTGAATCTGAATATTCATTCATAGGAGTTTATATTTTTGGAATTAAGGTCATCCAATGTTGGAGAACAAAGTATATTTATAGATATATTATAGCGAGCAGCAAATGAAATCAAGTTGGGGAAAATGCTTTTAAAACAGTGTTATTATATATACCAAATTAAAGTCTTACTAAAGTAAACATTGCTTGATCGATAATATTTTTATGTATTTTATTCTACTATTAAAAAGCTTCGCAAATTTTATCCACTCTAGAAAATTTCTAAGTATGTGTTTTACAACACTGCATTATTTTCAGTCAGAATATTCTAGACTTATTCCAAGTAAACTTCTTTGTTAAATGCTTTTTATAAGAACTTTTCTGTGAATGAATTCTGTGTCTTATTTTTCTATTATTTATTTTACAACACTATAAATAGATATTATAGCATAATCCTCTGATAAGCTCCTACCACATATTTCATTTGTATTCCAATTCTCATCCAATAAGCATTGTCACCTTCTTGCATTTGCATTTTCTTCTTACGGAATACCCTTACTAATATATTAAAGAACTAAAACCTGTTCATAAATCATTTCAAATTATTTATTTTAAATGGTTTGTTAGGCACTTTTTTCTGTTTTTCTTCTTCTTCATCGTCATCTTCTTCTGCTCTTTATCCTCATCAAAGTTATCCAAAGAGTTTACTCGCCTGCATCCAGAGTTGGCCGTAAACTGGTTTTCAGATACGATCTGTTGGTGCAATCATGTCAACGGTTCTCTAGACACAGCACAGTCAACGCGCCTTCGAGCGTTCCATCAACATTAAGCCGCATCGCAGAATTCGCACTTTAATAAAGAATTTTTATTTATTTATCTAATAGACGTCGTCGAACCCAAAGAGTCTTCTCCCCAGCTCTTTCCCAGCTTCCCAGCTCTCACACTGATTCTGGGCATTCACATTCGATTTGTGCTCGCTGGAATGCAATATTTGTTTGTCTCTGCATGCGGATCTCCCTTTTGGGCTGGGACAGATCACAAGCCCAGCCACGGCTCTGGCCAGAGTTGCCAGCCATTCGTTCGTTCGTTTGTTCTTGTTTATTGTCGCTTTCGAGTGCATTAATCAAATAAACCAAAGGCTGGGCTGGGTTAACAGCAGCTCGGCTCGATCGCTTCACTCGCGTCTTGGGCGCATTAGCATGCTCATATGTTCGAATTCGAAATCGTTTGTTTATCTCATTTAATATTTTGATACCCTGCAGCTTGTACCTATAGGGCATATTGTAGCTTTAATTGTAAGAATGTACACAGTGCGGGTGAGAAAGGGCGAGAGTCTCTCAATACCATTTGCTTATTCAAAATCTATCCAATAATTTGTAAAATTTCAATGCCAGAAATATAAAAATTTTGATGTTCTTATATATACATACATTTATAAAACTATAAATTCGATGTGTTTATTCTATATTTATATATAGACCATAAGCCTCTTATAATTTTGGATAATAAAAACATTTTTAAAGGGTATCTTTTAGTAGTTCAATTTTCACATAATCCGTTTGCCTGTCTGCTTCCCCGTTTGCTTGTTAGCGTATCCCTCTCTCTATCGCTCCATTCCCCCTTTCTCGATTGCTCCCTCTCTTTCCCTCCCGCATTTCTTCAATAAATATTTTGTTTTTATGCATTTTTAAATATTTTTTCCAACGCTGACCGCGGGCTTTGATTTTGTTCATTGCTGTTGTTGTTGTTTGTATTTTTATGTGCTTAGAAATTCTTTGGAAATGCATCTGCAACAACAACAACAACAACAACAACAGCTACAGCATCTGCATCTGCATCTTTTGTTTTGTTTGCCTTGGTATTAGTGTTGGCCATGTTTATGCTTTCCTGCTGTTTGCCTAACCAATTCTGATGCCACTTGTTGTTGTTGTTTTAGCTATTATTGTTGTTGTTGTTCCTCGTGCGTTTATTTACACATTTCATTTATTAAAAATCGCTGCCACGCAACCTCGAACCACCAACCCCCGACCCCCGACCCCCGACCCCCTTCACCTGCTTCAACGTCACGCTGATCATTGATCAGTAAATGCTCATATATAACTAATAAGAACGTTGCATTCGAGTTGCAACGACCGCATCATACTCGTTCATACCGGAAAGCCTTAGTAGAAATTTAGTATTTATTTTAGATAATCTAAGGCTTCTAGAAGGTAAAGATCGCTCTTGAGATGTAACTGTTAGATGATTGTCATTTGAGAATTGAGGAAGATATAATAAATATTGATAAGATAGAGGTAACACTTCATTCATATAATGTATACAAAAATTCACTAGCTGAAAGCTTCCGATACATACGACCTCTACAACCAATATACCCTTCATTTCCCATAATAAACGATCATAACCATCAAATATTGACAGGCGGCATCCGCTTCTATAGTTCCCTCTCTATATGCAAAATAATCAATTCCCATATGCAGCAGCTCTTCTTAAATACTTTTAATACGTTCCTCATTTTTTTTTTCATTTATTTACAAGTTTTTGTTGTTGTTGCTGTTTCTCTTTGTGGCATGCCACACACATAAGCAGCTAAAGCCGATAAGTGTCAGCCTTTGTCTCGCGATCGGTCGATCTTTCTGCTTCGCTTTCCGTTGATTAATTGCACTTTTATAATATTTCTCATTTTCTTGGTCTTTTGTTGAAAGTCTGTTTTTTTTTTTCTTTTTCTTATTTATATGTTCTTTTATTTATTTTATTTCGGCCTCTTCGTCGTCTTATTCTTGTTCATATTTTATTGATGCCGCTGCGGCGACTGCTGCTGCTGCTSCTGCATTTTATGCGTGCATCATTAGAGGTAATATTTTATTTTTATTATTCTCTCAGGTTCAGTGAACTCCAGTCGAGGAGATCTCCGCTATATGAATATAAATATATGCATTTATATATATTGTTTCTTATAGTTATATATATCTTGTAGTTATAGGTGATGAGGGTCATTTAAATTTTAATTGAATTATGTTGAGATGGCATCAGTCTTTTAGCGTATGAGTGCACGACTTCCACATACCCTATAAGTATAAGTTCTTTTTGTTTTGTTATATCTATATACAGCTGGAAAAGTCAGGAAAGGGTTAATTTTCAAATAAGATAAATTTGTAACTTTCACAAATTTTATGTATTTTTCCTTTTGTCTCAAGCTTAAACTTAAAAGATATAGGAAGGCTCTTAACAAACATAATCATGCCTTAAAGACCAATTGAACTAACTAACTAATAAAATCGTGGCATTTAATAAGTTTTTTTTTTTTTGTTAAGCACTTTCGTTTTCGCCCATAGCCCTTACCAAAAAATAAAAGAAGCTGAATATATAAAGCTCTGGGCAATTGGTTAGCTGTCGAATCGGAGTCAGACTCCCAACAAAAACAGAAAAAATTATTACGCACGCATATCCTTAAACTCAGTTTGAGTCAGTTTGCTGAATATAATAAGCAAGCTGATGCTGACAAAAAAAAAAAAAAAGATACTTGTGTAGACAAATTACCTCACAGAGGGGGGACCCCGCAACCACAACAAGCAAACGTGCCACATTCAAGCTACTTCACACACACACACATAAGAAGGTGTAGGGAAAAAAGCAGGCAGGCAGCAATCAAAAAGGCAACAACCAGAGCAACAACAGCAGCCGGCAACAAAATGTGTGGCATGCATAAAAATTGAAAAAGATGCAACTCACAAAAAAAAAAAAAAATTAAAACGAAAGAAAAATGAGAAGGTGCATTTGAATTGTGCGCGTGTGTATGTGTGTGTGTGTGTGACTGTATCTGTGTAGGTGCGCAAAGGAAGCCAACAAGCCACTTAACCCAATCGACAAAAGTCATTACACTCGTCACTCTCTGCAGAGGCAAGCGACCCTGCAATCCCCTGCCCGACCAACTGCCTCGAGTCTGTGGCACAAACGGACGACGCTTCCGCTGGGCGTCGACGCCGACGTCGACTGCGCCTGATCTTTTGCCTGTGTTAAATTGGCCTCAAGTGGCGGCAGAGCTAGCGTCGAGACTTGTTTCTGTCTCTGTGTGTCTCTCTCTCTCTCTCTCGCTCTCTCTGTGTATGTGTATGTGTGTGTGTGTATGAATAAAATAATATAAATAATACAATTTATTACAAGCGCAGCGTGTGTTATTTCTAATGTATCTGTATCTTCAAGATACAATATCTTGTAGCTGTATCTGTGCCCGTGCTGCTGTTGCCGTTGCCGTTGCGGCCGCTGCATCTGCTGCTCATCGCTATTGTATACAACAGCTCAATGCACATTGCCGCTTAATGAAAAATAAATAAATAACATAAAAATGAAGAAATATATATACAAACAAAAAAAAAAAAAACGAATCGAAGTAGAAGATGCACAGAGGCGAAGGCGAAGGAAAAGACGATGAAGAAGCAGAAGAGAATGAGAAAAAAAAA